GTCCCTAAAAGGGTATTCAGATGCAAATTAGGCAGGGTCCTCAATGGACAAGAAATCTACTACAAGGTACTATACCTTCTTGTGTGGGAATCTTGTCACTAGGAAAAGTAAAATGTAGAGTGTAGACTGTGTAGTTGCCAAGAGAAGTGTTGAAGCTGAATACATGGCAATGGTACACATTACTTGTGAATTGATATGGTTGGAATAACTTTATTCTTCTCTTCTGAAACCCTTTTTCACTTCCTTTTCTCTTCCTCTGTTCTTTTCTCTCTCTCAACTGATCTTTTCTTCTATTGTTTTTGCACCTTTTTGTTCTCCTTTCTAACTCTTCTTTCTAAAGTAAATACCTTGACCCAGAAAAAAGTACCAAAAACATCCATTGAACCTGAATGATATGATATAGTCAACCCGGAAGAAATTTTTCAGCTTTCCCAGGTTCCAACTTCCAATAACCAAAAAGCCTGAAGTTGCTCATGGAGACATAAGCATAAAATACACTACAATAAATGTCTATGCATTTAAAAATTAGACTTAACACTGTTTTGAAAATGAAAAAGACTATCAGATAAATTGTTTAGAAGTTATAGCCTTGTACCAGTCTTGCAATAAGCTAAATTACTAAACACTCTCCATTATGGCATTGTCACTAAACCTCAAGGACATCATGGTGGAAGGAGACTACAGCACAACTGTGTATTGTTCATCAGATGGTAATCGAGGCCCATGGAGATATAGGAACATTTTAAGAGACACAAGGAGAATGCTAGAGGAGTTGAGAGCTCAAATACAGTGGATCCCAAGGGGAGGAAACAACCTAGTGGATATATTAGCTAAACAAGAGGCAAATAGGTCAAACATGTTCTAGGGGTCATTAATGGAGGTCCAACAAAATGCTACACAAAACAACGAGTGCAATGGGGTTGGTAGCAAGGTATAGTGGATCTACTAAGCTAAAGGAGAATGCTAAAAGAGCTAAGAGCTCAAACACGGTGGATTCCAAGGGAAGGAAACAATCTGGTGGATACATTTGCTAAACAAGAGGCAAACAGGTCAAACATGTTCGGCCAGTCACTAATGGAGGTCCAGAAAAATGCTACATAAAACAAAGGGGCACAGGGTTGGTAGTTGGGGCTACCTGGATCTTGTAAGCTTGATGTTTTTTTTTATAAATAATCTTGTAAGTTTGATGTTGTACATATAACATTCAAGGTTTAAAATATATATATATATATATGTTAATGGAAATGTCGTTTACCCAAATATAGGACATGTCAGAAATACCATATGGAAATATTGTAAACATTATAGACATTGTGAAAATGTTATGAAATATGTGGAAATCAGTGTTTTAAAAGCGCAAGGCGGGGTCCATTTGTGCCTGAGGCACAAGGCGCAAGGCAAGGCGCACACCTTTTTAAGCTAGGCGTAAAAATAAAAGAAAAATGCTAAAAAATCAAAAATATGCAAAAAAAATCAAAATAATATTAATAAAAATATAAACTTAAATTTTAAAATAAATGTTTTAAAAAAACCTATTATCTAAAATTAAAATACATAAACATAACATGTAAAGCATACTCAAATGAGAATTTAAAAATAAAATCAAACAAATAAAACATTTCAAGCATATAAAACCCATAATCTCTTTTTTTCTCAATTGCATTACTTCAAGTAGTTAAGGTGATGTAAAACATATTACATTCCTAATTCTATGAGCCACCTTTGTGCCACGCCCCTCGAGGCAAGCCCAAACAGGTCTATGTTAGGGTCTTAAATTTTTAATTCTCACACAAAAAATAATGTTTTTATAGTTTTAATTGCTTTTTAAGAAGATATTTTATTAGGATGAATGAATGAACAATATCACCAAATAGGGGGTTCTCGAAGCTTCGGTGTGAGAATTAAGAATTTAAGACCCTAACATGGATTTGTTTGGGTTTGCCTCAAGGGTTGTGGCATGGGGGTTCGGGGGCAAAGCCCCTGCCCAGCCGCTAGACTCAAAAAAAGCAAAAAAGTGTCAAATTTTCAAAAGACGCACGCCTGGGCTAAGGTGCAAGGCATACCAGGTATGCGCCTTTTTTAAGGGTTGTGCATAGGACCTAAGTGAGGCGCCTACCATAAAATGCGCCTCGCCTGTAAAATGATAAAAGAAGCATGAATACACATTTCTAGACTATTAACTTCCATGAGAAATATCTTTTTGTTCTAATAAATAATTAGAGTTAAATCATATAAACAATACAAACCATTTAATATTTTTATTATTAAGAAAACTATTTTATTTATGCATTTCATTTTATTCTGATAAGTAATTAGTTTAAGTAATATTTTATTATTACAAAAAATATCTCACTATTTTTCATTTTTATGAATATTTTATCTCAAATATTTTCTTATTATTTATTCATTTTTTATTGCTTTTATAATGACTATGATATTACCATATAAACTATTTATTAAGTCATATAAAACAAATAATATTTTTATTATTATAAAAACATTGTATTTATGCTTTTTATTTTATTTTAAATAGTTAGTTTAATTATTTGTTTTTTACTTTTATTTTTATGGATATTTTATGTTTTATCTTAAATATTAATTTTCTTATTATTTATTCATTTTGATTGGCTTTTATAATGAGGTTCTACAATATTACTATTAACCCTCATATACTATAATAAGACTAGAATAATATATTAGAGATTCATTTTATAAATTTTCTTTTAGGAGGTCTATATAGTATTACAATAAACCCTATTGCATTGTAACATACTTATGGTAATGTTTTAAAGATTCCATTTAAATGCTTGCTATAGTAATGGTCTATACACCTTATATAGACCATCATGTAATGTAGCATGTCTTTAATAACAAAAACTTAAACATTTAGACTTACAGGCTCATTGGTCATTTGAACCCTCAGCCTAAATTTTCAAGACTCTACAAAGACACAAAGATGCAGTGCAAACTGCGATAACTGTGTGAGGATTTCAGGAAGCCAAAGCCGAAAACAAAGAAATAGAAGAGGAAGATGAAGACAGACCTTCTCCTCGACCTCGAGCCCTCAATTCCTCATCTTCTTTTTTTTTTCTCCCCTTATTTTTCATGGTTATTCACTGTGATAGGGAAATAGAGATAGTATTGCATGCCTGAATCAAGATGAGAGCAATTTCTTTAGGGTTTTAGATGTCTAGTATCCTACTTATTGTTCCAAGAAAGTATTTCAGAGCAAGACCAAGGGTAGAAGCCACTCTTGTGCCTATTTGAGCCTAAAGTTGTAGTTCTTCCAGCTCCAGGTAAGTGAACTGAAAACCCCTTCTTTTTTCCCCATTTAATCTCTCTCTTTCTCCTTTTGTTTGAGATGAAATTTGGTTGTCTTTACTTCAAATATATGCCAAGTTGTCAACATTTGGATGAAATATTATACTTTTTTATGTTTTTAATGGCATAGATGATATTTACCAAAATGGTCAAAATATCAACCAATATTTTGTATTTTAATTTGAGAGTTCATGTTGGTAGGTCTCAACACCGACATATGTCGAGCAACATTACCAAAATGTCTAAACACTAAGCATCATATATATGGTATATTATGTATTCAGTGAGCTGTTGCAAGTTGAAGGGGCTGGCAGACCAAAAAGGACATTGTTTTAGTAAGAAATGATTCAAGCACTCGTAATTTAGCAATGGACATGGCACTATATAGAACAGAATGACAAAACAAGATTCATGTAGTCGATCCATATAATTGGGACAAGGCTTTTTTTTTTTTGATAAATATAATTGAGACAAGGCTTAGAAGATGATGATGCTGATGATGTATTCAACATCAAATTCAAGGTTATTTCTTCAAATAATACATAGCAACAAAACAGGTGAGCACACCCCACAAAATGAGCCTTGCCTAAGAGCATATACAGGCTTTTTAAAGCACTGCTATAACGAACAAAAACAGTCAATAAAAATATCCAGTCATCAAAATGAATTTTACATGGAACAACCCATACAGCTAACCTTGTCCAAAACCATGTATAAAATCTCTATACATTTCCTTTGGTATGTATTTGTTCCTTCTTTTGTTTCTTAAATGATAATGTATAGTATTGCATTAGCTACAAATTTTGTATGATAGATACATCAACCCATACACCAGTAGACTGTGTACTGAAAATAAGTAATATACAAATATTGAGAACTCCTCTATTGTCTCAGCAATTTTACTGAAAAAGTTTCTTTTTTTTTTGTTGATAAATTACTGAAAAAGGTTTTCTTTCCCAAGAAAAGAAGCATAAGGTGGCCTATGGCCCCCTGAATAAGCTATTGATTCCTGACCATGAACACAACATGCCCTGTGTATTCCTAGCCACCACATCTTCTGTTTCCATTTTACTCTTAAATAGTCAGGCATTCCTTTCACACCAAATGGCAAACTATCTGCAAACGGAGAAAGCTCCCATATACTAGTACCCCTTTTTTCTTAAACCTCTCAACAACTGTGTAAAAATGCTTCAGGACAACAGCCTGTCACTCCAAATCCAAATATACCCCTTACCCACATCCAAAGATACTCTACCAAGCTACCATGCAAGAAAACATGGTTAACCAATTACTCACAACCATTATGCTGCACACATGTCGTGCTGTCCACCACCACCACCCTCTGCATGTTTTCTTTTGTCAGGCTTTTTTACAATGGCTAATCATACAACAAAAGCCATCTTCAAGGGAGATGCAGAGTACCACATTTTGGATACCTGGAAGTTGGTAATACCTTGTGTAATTAGTTTATTGTAAAATATCTTATTCCATTTGGCATATATCTTTAGTCAGACACTTTTTTTACTGTGTATGTTCACTCCCATGCTTGTTTTGTGCATTTGGTGTTCTGTATGTGTTGGCAGATGGGCTTTGGACACAGGCAAGGGTGGGCATGTTATAAATGTAGTAGCTACAATGTCAACATATCTTACTTATCAAAAAAAAAAATGCCAGCATACCTTGTGACTACCACCAACAACAACAAATGGGACAGCATGTCTTTGAGCTGCAAGTGCAACCATATTCAATCCAACAGGCGCTATAACCCCGCCATTGGCCATGATAGCATGAGCTCCAATTATTACCTATTACAATTTCAAGTTAAAGCAGAAAAAAAAAATGTCCTAAGAAACCTAATAGTTTTTGGTAATGCAAGAAACCTAATAATAATAAAAGAAAAAGGAGGTAAAATCAAAGTGATTGTTTACCATATTCACACGAGAAATCATGGCAAAAACTGCAGAATCAGTAATGACAGTGGTCTGTAAGCCTCTTGCAACYAACTCTTTTGCAAGAACATGCCCCTGGTACCTATATGAWTCAAGTAATAACAAAGCAGGTTGAGTTACAAAGAGAAAACAGGAAAATCCCAAATGGAGGATGCTTATACCATTGTCTTGTGACAAAAAGCTAGCACTGTACAAACAGCAAACCTTGGAGCACCCTCTGCAACAAATACACGGAATGATCGCTTTTTCTCCTTCGCAGCACAAAGGAACTCCATCACTGTTCTTGAGCGGCCTAAAGTTAATATTACCTCACTGGAAAACATAATTAAATGGTTACATGCAATGTATTAAGCAAATGAGGTGGACTTTAAAGAAAACATCCAAATTCAAATGCATAAAAACCATCTAATGGGGTGTTCAGCTTCAGCAAGCCAATCAGTTCATACTGCTGCCTTCATTAAATGGGACACAAGCCTCTTCGCAAGAAATGGTTTAAAAAGTTGGCAGATAGCCTAGCCAAGCAAGGGGTACATAGAGCACATGTTTTGGGCTCAAATGTAATTTGTATTGGGACAGCTCCTAAAGATGGTTTCTTTCACAACTTCTTGTTGCAATCCTGATTTCTTCTAATTAATGAAATCTTTTTCTGTATTGCTGATCAAAAAAAAGAAAAACATTTTCCGAAAACATGTTAGTATATGATAAATTTCTTGTCTTGCACACTTTTCAATGCTGCATCAGCATCATGTGGAAGAAAGAGTTTTTACTTATTGAAGGCTATCTTTCTCAGTTTTAAAATACTGGTGTTTCTTCAAAAAGTGAAAACAAGGTCAGCAAATGAGTTTCCACATTTTCCTGACATGGCATTCACAAAAAATATATATATATACAAAGAAAACTAAACAAACCAACTTGCTGATTACCCCCTCTAGTGTGTATGTATACATTTTCTTTTTTGATAATTTGTGTGTAGACATCCAATATGTATCTATATCTATACTACTATTAATGTGGGAATGAGGTCTAGATTCTGGAATTTTTCTYGACTAAAACAGCCCGTTTTTTACTTTGAACCCTCTTTATTATGAGAGCAAAAAAGGTACTTTGAACTASTACATATATTAATTCATCTATTCCCTCTCATTAAGTCCTATGTTTAAGGTATTAACTCCCATTACCTCTCATTAAATYATATATTTAAGGTTCTTAAATAAATGAGCTTTGTRRACTTTTTCTTGACCAAAACACCCCTACTTTTGAATTTGGTCCAACTTTAACTAAGAGGGCAAAAAATGTAATTTATACTATACTTTCACTTCATTCAATTCCCTCTTACTAAGATGTTAACTCCAATTCTCTCTCATAGATCTTTTATTTAAGGTATTTTTGTTTCTCACCAATAAATTATATTAATTATATATGTATMCAATAATTTCAATAACATAAAACTTATGCACTCAAAACTGACATGAAAATTAAGCCATTCTTCTGTTTGGGTGGTGGATAAGTAGTTCAACCATCCARGTCAAATGGATCAACCAATGGTCTCATAGTTAAATAATAAAATTTTCAAAATAAATATAATAAAAATATAAAATTACAAAAAAAATGAAAAATTTTGGGCATATTCTAATATTATATATCTATCATATTAAACAAAAATAAGTATGATAAATAAGAAGTATTTTAATTAATGAAATACAAAATTTAACAGACCCAGAAATGAAACTACTTTCCTATTCAAGTAGTGGGTCAATGGTCCAACTCTTCAAATTAAATGAGACCCATGATGTCATAATTAAATAATAAAATTTAAAAAATAGAAGCACAAAACATATTAAAAGATATAGGAATTTTGTATAAAACATTTGGGTACATCTCTAAAAGTATGTATTCATCATATTAAACAAAAATAAGTGTGATAAATAAGTCATTTTTAGGGTCATTTACTAGAACATGCCTTAYAGTTTCACAGATTTACTTAAACCTRTCCTATAGTTTTATTTTAATAAAACATCCCCTATAGTTTGCAACTTATTTAATTTATTGACCTTTCATTAAAAATTATCCGTTTTGCCATATGAAAATAGAAACATGATCACCTAAACAAAGTGGAAATGTTCAAGGGCATGGGCCCATGGTTGTTTATTCCAAAAGTATGTTATGGGCCCGGGAATAGGATCGCGTCACGGGTCGGTCCACGGGGAAAAGCTCCTGTTTCCCCTTGTTCCTCCCCTTCCTAGCTGAACCTATCTTGGCGTCYTAGAGGGTGATTTGTCCAAGAGATCACCGAACTCTCCTTTTACTCTCTTTCTTGACTGGAAATTT